GGACAGACAGACAGACGAACAGACAGACAGAGAGACAGACAGACAGATGGAGAGACAGACAGACAGGAGCATTACAGCATACTGGAGTTCAACAGGACAGACAGATGCAGAGACAGACAGACAGACAGACAGACAGACAGACGCAGAGACAGAGAGATGAACAGACAGATGAACAGACAGACAGATGGACGGAGAGACAGACAGATGCACAGACAGACGGATGGATGGAGAGACAGACAGATGAACAGACAAACAGACGGATGGACGGAGAGACAGACAGACAGACAGACAGTCGGACGGAGAGACAGACTGAGAGACAGACAGACAGACGGATGGACGGAGAGACAGACAGACAGACAGACAGTCGGACGGAGAGACAGACTGAGAGACAGACAGATGAACAGACAGACAGACAGACAGTCGGACGGAGAGACAGACTGAGAGACAGACAGATGAACAGACAGACAGACAGACAGTCGGACGGAGAGACAGACTGAGAGACAGACAGATGAACAGACAGACAGACAGACGGACGGAGAGACAGACAGACAGACGGGACGGACTCCGGGCAGGATGATGTTCTCCACATCCTTCATGATGCTGCTCCAGTCCTCCGGCTCATACGGAGCGCTGCTGGGCAGCAGAGGACGCATGAAACCCGGCTGAACGTCTGGAACGACCCGCCGCTCACGGATCTGTGTGAGATACTGCTGGATGAAATCCACCATCTCCTTCCCTACACACACACACACACACACACACACACACAACAGAGGAACAGCAACACATTAAACTGCAAACACACTGTGAGAAGATCACTATAAATCACTGCAAATACAAGACTGAACAACATTAGAGAAAAGTTATAAAACAACAGGCGAAGAGCACAGACGCTCAGATATTACAGCAGAACATAAATATGAAACCTATTTAATGCAGTAAAAGATTTCAGAAGATGACAACAGAATACAAACACTTGATTAAAATGTCCTGAATATCATTTACTCTAAGTTTTTGAACTAAACCAGCTGTACAAGGCTGAATAAAGTTAGTTGTGTCCTGTAAAACTATTTAGAACCATTCATATGATTCAGTTCTAATAGACAAGTCAGTACAGAAGCGCCACACTGGCCAGATGTGAAGGTTCCGATCATTACCTCTCATCATGTACTCCTGCGCCTGCATCGCGTCTGTCAGAGGAAGAGAAGATCAGCGAGGATGAGCCGCTTCAGATCTCAGTCTGCTCTTATAGCTGCTGTTGATGGAGCCGCCCACTGACGCAAACACACCAACTACACAAAGACACGCTTGGATTCAGAATGATAGTTCTGCACCTCCAAACACGCATCTGTCTTTATGAGCACTGATACGGCATGAATCAAAAACCAATCCGTATCTGAAATATGTGTGTTTGAAGAGCTCAGAACCTTCCCAATACTGTAATACTTCATCTACAGACGCACAGATACACAGATGCTGTTGCTGGTTCAGACTGTAAAACCCTTTTATTGTGCATTTATTCGGCATATTCAGTTTAAGATGTGTTATAATCTGCCGTCTAGATGTGAACCAGCAGATCGGTGTTGGAGAGATGCTCAGATCCTCCTCAAAGAAAACAAATCCAGCGCTGCTGTCTTTTAAAAGTAAGATGACAGAAATCCTGAAAAATGCATCACAAACAACAAGCAGCAGGAAACTATAAACACAAGAGATTCATGTTGATTATCAGCGAGGAAACGAGTCTGACGATGAAGGATTTGATCAGACGTGCAGATCAAACACATGACATCTGACATTACAGCACAATTAAACCTTCCTCATTCTGGTTTTGAGGGGCTTTTGTCTCTTTATTCAAAGGCCAGTGGGATGTGGGTCAGAATCGAACCTGTGTCGGCCACACGAGCACCACAGCTGAGACACTTTATGACGAGAACTGAAGTAAATGAATGATAATGATCCGGTCAGGTTCACGCTGCTTTCTTCACGCTCTGCCGTGTGATGGCCTCCAGCTTCTGTCTGTACGCCTCCGCCTCCTGCTCCTTCTTCAGGAACTGCTGTCTGTATTTCTGCACCTCACGGTTCGCCTCCTCCAGCTGCTTCAGAAGAGCCACTTTCTCCTGTATCTGTGTGTCTTGTGTTTCTGTCATCTGATCATCTTCTTCTTCTTCCTTCACACACTGACGCTTAACAGACGGCTCGTCGCTGATCACCGTTTCCTCTGCGACCTCTGTGTCCGACACTGTCAGCACTGCAGGAACACACACACACACATTCTGAGAGAGATGCGCAAACACACACATACACACTCTCACACACACACACACACACACTGAGAGAGATGCGCAAACACACACATACACACTCTCACACACACACACACACACACTGAGAGAGATGCGCAAACACACACATACACACTCTCACACACACACACACACACACTGAGAGAGATGCGCAAACACACACACACACACACTCTCACACACACACACACACACAC